AAATAGGGAGAGAGGGGGAGGCAGATGGAAGATGGATAAAGGAGCAGATAGGTGGAGAGGAGACAGACAGGTCAAGGAGGTGGGGATGGAGCCAGTAAAGGTGAGTGTAGGGGGTGAGTTAGGATGGGGATTGGTCAGTCCAGGGAAGATGGACAGGTCAAGGAGGTGGGGATGAGGCTGGTAGGTAGGAGGTGGGGGTGGGGCTTCAGGTGGGAGGAATGGATAGGCTGGAGAAAGGACGGACAGACTAGGGAGGTGGGGATGAGCTGGGCTGGTTTTGGGATGCAGTCGGGGGCGGGGAGATTTTGAAGCTTGTGAAGTTCCCCTCATCCTCACGTACTACCCCACCAACTTCCGGATCCAACGCATCATCCTCTGGCAATTCTGCCATCTGCAATCCGACCCCACCACCAAAGACATTTTTCCCTTCCCACCCTTATCCGGAGGGACCACTCTCTCTGTGACTCCCTCGTCCACTCCACACTCCCCTCCAGCCCCATGACCCCTGGCACTTTTCCCTGCAACAGCAGGAAGTGCTACACCTGCCCCTACACCATACCCCCTCACCCCCATCCCAGGCCCTAAGAAAACCTTCCACATCAAGCAGATGTTCACCTGCACATCTGCTAATGTGGTATACTGTATCTACTGTTCCCAATGTGGCCTCTTCTATATCGAGGAAACCAAGCGGAGGCTTGGAGACCGCTTTGCGGAACACCTCCGCTTGGTTCGCAAGAAACGACTGCACCTCCCAGTCTCGAACCACTCCAACTCCCCCTCCCACTCCTTGGACAACATGTCCATCCTGGGCCTCCTCCAGTGCCACAATGATGCCACCCAAAGGTTGCAGGAACAGCACCTCATATTTTGCTTGGGATCCCTGCAGCCCAATGGTATCAATATGGACTTCACAAGCTTCAAAATCTCCCTGCCCCCGACCGCATCCCAAAACCAGCCTCCCTAACCTGTCTGTCCTTTCTCCCACCTATCCATTCCTCCCACCTCAAGCCCCACCCCCACATCCTACCTACCAGCCTCATCCCCGCCTCCTTGACCTGTCCATCTTCCCTGGATCGACCTATCCCCACCTCCTTGACCTGTCTGTCTCCTCTCCACCTATCTGCTCCTTTATCCATCTTCCATCTGCCTCCCCCTCTCTCCCTATTTATTTCAAAATCCCCTTCCCTTCCCCCATTTCTGAAGAAGGGTCCAGACCTGAAACATCAGCTTTCCTGCTCCTTTGATGCTGCTTGGCCTGCTGTGTTCATCCAGCTCTACACCTTGTTATCTCAGATTCTCCAGCATCGGCAGTTCCTACTATCTCTATGTAAATGCAAATCCTTTTTCAACAAGTGTAGCCCAGTTCTCTGTTAGTTTTGTTAATTGCTCAACATGGACAGTGCAGAATCTGCCATCCATTCTCGATCTCGGTCACTCTTGTTAGCTGCTGGTTTAACACGTTTCAATGTGTTTCGTATTTTGTTTTCCAGGGTCTAAGGTCTTGGATATATCTGCATTAAGCTTTCTCTGCCCTGGTTCTGCCCACTTGTAAAGTCCCAGTTGCTTCTTCAGACACTTGAACACAACAGAACTCAAGAAGCATCGCACTTGTCCAGCTTCCCCAGCCAACATTTTAAACATCGGTCCCTCCAACACTGGCGCACAGTGGCATGCCTGAGTACTGTTCATAGGATTCGATGTATCAAGGCTGTTACAACTCAACCTTCACTGAAGGGAGAAGCCATATGTCTAAGGGAACATCTTCAGGCTCCCATAGGACTGGTGCAAATAAAAACAAAATACTGCAGATGCTGGAAATCTGAAATATAAATAGTAAGTGCTGGAGAAACTCGGTAGGTCTGGAAGCGTCTGTGGAGAGAGAAACTGAGCTAATGTTTGGGTCTGATAGTACTCTCGGCCCGGTTCTAATATGGTTAACAGTTATATCAGACTCGAAACGTTAACTCGGTTTTTTTCTCTCCACACATGCTGCCAGACCTGCTGAGCTTCTCCAGCACTTTCTGTGTTTATCCCCCAGGAATCATACGCTATCATGATTTGGGCACACATTCCTTCATTATCACTGGATCGGACTTTAAGGACTATCTATCCAACAGTACTATGGGTGCATCTAAAGCCTCTCTGCTCCTATGATGCTGCTTGGCCTGCTGTGTTCATCCAGCCCTGCACCTTGTTGTAGTAGATAATTGAGGTTGATTTAAAGCAGGAGGTTTAAAATGAGGGCACTAACAGTGAAAAATGGATGAACTTTCAGCATCTTCAACATAGGATCAGGAAAAGGCCACTCAGCCTCTCAAGCTTATTCTGCCAGTCAATTCATCATTGAGTTATACAATAACTCCACCTTCATCCCTTGGATGTGTAAGCCAATTCCAATTTAAAAAAATAGCAAATCCAAAGGAAATATTTATTTCATGGAATCCCTACAGTGTGGAAACAGGCCCTATGGCCTAACAAGTCCACACTGACCCTCAGAGCATCCCACCCAGAACACTATGGGCAATTTAGCATAGCCAATCCACCTAGCCTGCACATTTTTGGACTGTGGGAGGAAACCCATGCAGACACAGGGAGAATGTGTAAACTCCACACAGACAGTACTTGAGGGTGGAATTGAACCCAGGTCCCTGGTGCTATGAGGCAGCAGTGCTAACCACTGAACCACCATACCACCCCTAAGTTAAGAGCATATTCCTAAGTTAAGAGCATACAATTAAGTGATTAGTGAATCAAACAGATTTTTTTGAAACTACTGATGATCAGCTAAAAAAAAAAACCCGAAAGAGCTGCGGATGCTGTAAATCAGGAACAAAAACAAAGTTGCTGGAAAAGCTCAGTAGGTCTGGCAGCATCTGTGAAGGAAAAAACAGAGTTAACGTTTCGGATCTGTTGACCCTTCCTCAGAACTTTAAGTTACCGGACACGAAACGTTAACTCTGTTTTTTCCTTCACAGATACTGCCAGACCCATTGATGATAAGCTAATGGCTGCCATCACTAAGATTAATTTTCAATTGCAGATTAATTAAAATCAAATTCCACCAGCTGCCGTAGTAGGACTTGAACCCCATATTCTTGGAGCATTATTCACCAAAGATCCTCAGAAAGTACTTTCCAAACCCATGATCACCTCCATCTAGAAGGACAAGGACAGCAGATACAAGTGAACACCACCACATGCCAGTTCCCCTCCAAGACACTCCCCATCCCGACTTGGAAAATATCACCATCCTTTCACTGTTGTTGGGTCAGATTCCTGGAATTCTCTCCCTAGTGGCAGTGGGTCAATTCACAGCATGTTGACTGTAATGGTTCAAGAAGGCAGTTCACCACCACCTTCTCAAGGACAACTAGGGACAGGCAATAATTACCAGCCAGCCAGTGATGCCCACATCCCAAGATGAATATAATATTAGGCTGGGCTGCTGGTTTACAGGCAGCTCCCCTGCACTTGGAAGTTTAATTGCAATCATTGAGGTGATTCTGGCATCTTTGGGCTATAACCTGGTGTTGTGTGATACTTGAAGTGTGGACATTACTCAGCATTAGTTAACGTTTCGGGTCCGGTGACCCTTCCTCAGGACCCGGAACGTTAACTCTGTTTTCTCCTTCACAGATGCTGCCAGACCTGATGAGCTTTTCCAGCAACTTTGTTTTTGTTCCTGATTTACAGCATCCGCAGTTCTTTTGGTTTTTATTACTCAGCATTAGAAGCTTAAAGTCCTTGGTGTGATCTTTGAGTTGATATGTTTGTCCAATCCTTCAATTAATCTCACAAGGGAATGGACTAATTTCTATTCATGGCATCTTCAGACCTTCAGATGGTCACTCAGGATTTTTACGTTTTAACAATTAAAGGGTAACTAGTGCCAGACAATATCAAGACTATTGGTAATTATTTCATGCAAAACACCAGCTCAGGAATAGTTTCCAATGTACATTGAACAACCTGGTATTTATCAATATTGTATGCCTTACCTTCAATAATAAATTAGGCAGTAGCTACTCAGAGCTCCAAATGTTTTGAAAAATACATGAACTTTTCCGTTATACCAAAAGTTGCAAAGTTGGATTCAATGGATAGGTTTTAGATCAACATGTCATTTGTACATTAATATCACTGCTTCTGCTTTAAAGCAATGTTTCCAATGAGTCATAAACTGCAGACACTCAGTTAAGCTGAGCAACGTATGCTCATCCAGTACCATATTCTTTATATTTGTTGGGCGAAAAAATGGCTGATGGTAAAACTGCCATAGAAAGGTGAGACACACAACTGTGGGCCATTATTGTAACCTGTTGTGTGCGACCCCTGATCGCATCCATATGGAGGATCAAGCCAGGGCAGCTCATAGTACCTGCAGCAATGGAGGAGACCATTCTGCCCATCTGCCTATACTGGCTCTTTGACAGAGCTATCCACTTAGGCCCACACTTTAAGGCCCTTTGAATGTTCCCTTTCATAGTATTGATCCAAGTCCTCTTTGTAAGTGATAATTGAATCAACCTTTCAGCCAGTGCATTCTAGATCACAGCAACACAGGTGGCTCAGTGGTTAGCACTGCTGCCTCACAGCACCAGGGGCCCGGGTTTGATTCCACCCTCGGGTGACTGTGTATAGTTTGCATGTTCTCCCTGTGTCTGCATGGGTTTCCTATGGGTGCTCTGGTTTCTTCCCACAGTCCAAAGATGTGCAGGTTAGGTGGATTGACAATGCTAAATTCCCCATAGTGTTCAGGGATGCACAGGCTGGGTGGGTTAGCCATGGGGAATGCAGAGATAGGGTAGGGGGGTGAATGGGATGCTCTTCGGAGGCTCAGTGTAAACTTGATGGGCCGAATAGTCTGCTTCCACACTGTCAAAAAAACTTTTCACCTCCCTCCTGCTCCTTTTCTCATGTGGACATAGAGATGTTTGTGAACATAAGTCAAAGTGGCAAAAATAGTTGGGAGAGGGGTTAATAAATTATTCAGTATCCTACACTTTAATAATGTGAGCATAGAGTACAAGAACAACAAGAGAACCTCGAAGAAAGATTTGAAAGAAGCATTCAAAATCATGATGGCTTCAGGACAGAGCAGATAGGGAGAAACTGTTCCTATTGGTGGAAGGATTGAGAACCAGATGGAGCAGATTTAAGGGAATTAGCAAAAGAAGCAACATTGACAGGACCAAAAATGTTTTCACATGGTGAGTGTTTGAGATCTGGAATGCACTGCCTAAATTCCTGGAGTTTAGAAGAATGAGTGAGGATCTCGAAGAAACCCAAAAATTTCTAACAGGACTAGATAGGTTAAACACAGGAAGGATGTTCCTGGGGAGTCAAGAACCAGGAGTCACTGTTTAAGGATGTTGGGAAAGGCATTTAAACCTGAGATAAGGAGAAATTTCTTTGCCTAGAGAGTGGGGACCCTGTGGAATTTTCTGCCACAGAAAGCGGTTGAGGCCAAACATTGAATATTTTTAAGAAGGAGTTCAATATACCTCTTAGGGCTAAAGGGATCAGTAGGTATGGGAAAGAAAGCAGGACCAGGACACTGAGTTGGATGATCAGCCATGATCATATTTGAATGGCAGAGCAGGCCTGAAGGGCCAAATAGCCTACCTTTGTTCCTTTTTTAAAAGTTTTTAAAAGGAGTATGGTAGAGGTAGGTTTAATCAAGGTGTTCAAGAGGGAATTGGGTTATTATTTGAAAAGGACGAACGTGCAGGATAACAGGGAGAAGATGGGGGAGTGACATCCAGGTGAACTCTTCAATGGAGAGCTAGCACACACATGATGGCCTGACTGGCCTCCTTCTGAGCCGTAACAATGCTTTGACTATGTCTGCTTTTGCTGCCACATCCCAAAATTTAATTAAGAGGTGCCTGAAGATGAAAGCATCTGTAGAACTCAGCACATTTACTGACAAAAAAAAATTGCCATTATTGCTCTGTCTATTCCCCCCTCCATCTCAAACCCAATGCTAAATTCCTCAACAAAGCCCAGCTGCCCCTGAAGCAGATCCATGGGGCTGTTGCCGTTGATTAGCTTGAGCCCTGTGGTATTACCTGGTGTTGAAGGACGCCTGCTCCCCACTCTGGATATGAATGGTGCTAAGTTCCTGCATGCTTCTCAGGTGAGCGGCTGACACGCTGGAGTTGGGAAGATGAGTGGACTTCTTGTTACTGCGGCGGGAGCAGCAGGTACTGGTTGTCCCAGACTCTGAGGACAGAGATGGGCTGTGGGTGGATGGGCAATTCTGCATCGAACCTTCCAGGCAGTTCTGTTCATAAACCGGTTCATCAAGCAACTCGTGGTTCTGATAAAATGCGAGAGGAGGTTAAATGTTTTAAACTGTGGAGGTGCTCATTGAAAAACGAAGTACATCAACTTTGACAGGGAGTAAGAAACTACATCTGCTCCGGGTCTGAGTTAGTAATTCTGATACTCACACGCAAAGGTGAATTTGGTTTTATTTGTGTATGAATAGTTGGTGTTTGCTGTGATTGGGTTTATTAGTGTTGCTTATTGGAATTCTTCCTATTTCAATCAGACTTGAATGCCCCAATTAGATGTTGAATAAATGAATGGCCAAAGCTTAGCTTCAAATTTCTATTACACAATGCTTACATTTACATAGTACCTTTGTTGTATATAAGTGTGAAAGGGTCAATGCTGAGGAGGACCATAAGTATGGTGAGACCATAATGAGACCATAAAGACTTCAGGGCAAAACAACTCAGAATCTCGCAAGAGTGAAAACTAACATCTAAACACGCTCAAGTCTATGTAATAATATCTTCTCAATATAACCTGTAACTTGTTACGAACACGCAATCAACTACACTTTGTTTGCTACAGGCGACTCTCCTAGTTAGACCAGGAAACAGCATCCATCTACTGCACTAGACCAATCATTTCCTACGCTGGCAGAGAATGGTGGCAGCGACATCATCGTCTGCAGCACCTCATACAGCGTAAAGTGAAAGTCACCATCGTCTGCTGTCTTATTAGAGAAACCAAGAGAGAATTGCAGGTGAGGTTAACTTGAGGGCATCACACTTCAGACTCAGAAAGTGGGGCCTTTCAGTCCATTGGCTTAATCAACACTTATATAGAGTGTAGTGAGCTGACACCCTCATAAAATGTCTGCCACAAGCTCAGTAAGTTCCAAAGCACTTTACCACCAATGGTATTTACCAGACTGATTCCTGGGATGGTGGGACTGATGTATGAGAAGAGCTTGAATTGGTCAGGATTATATTTGCTGGAAGTTAGAAGAATAAGGGATGGAGGTATGGGTGTTGGTGAGATCTCATAGAAACCTGTACAATTTCAACTGAACTGAATAGGGTAGATGCAGGAAGGATGTTCCCAATGGTGGGGGGTCTGGAACCGGTTGTCATTGTGTGAGGATACAAGGTAAACCATTTAGGACTAAGATGAATAGAAATATCTTCACCCTGAGAATGGTGAACCTGTGGAATTCTCTGCTGCAGAAAGCTTCTGAGGCCAAACCATTGTATGATTTCATGATTTGAAGTGTTGGATTACAGACTTGGGGCAAAGGAAATGGGGCAAAAGCGGGAACAGGCTGTTGAGTTGGATGATCCACCATGATCATAATGAATGGGGGAAGCAGGCTTGAAGGGCTGAATGGTCTACACCTGCTCCTATTTTCTATATTTCTATGTTTCAATATAGTTTGTCACTGTTGTAGTGGAGAATACATGACAATCAATTTGAGGAAAGCAAGCGCCCACCAACAGCGATGACCTGGTATGTTCATCATCTGTTTCAGGGCAATTAGTTGAGGGTTAAATATTGTCAGTGTCAGTCGATACTCAATTAAAAACTGTTTCATTGGATGTCTGTGAATGTTTATTTGGGACTGAACTGAGACAAACACATAGAACTGAAATGAATTCCATCTCATCCAGGCTGGATTTGAACCCAGAGATAGTAGGAACTGCCGATGCTGGAGAATCTGAGATAACGAGGTGTAGAGTTGGATGAACACAGCAGGCCAGGCAGCATCAGAGGAGCAGGAAAGCTGACGTTTCGGGTCTAGGCCCAGGTGCTTGGAGCAAAAAGAGGGCTCAAGCTCCACCTGCTCCAAAAGTGTGAAATAACATCTGTTTTTTAAAAAAATAAGGTTTTAATTAAGCTGTTACAGTGGTGTTATTGCACATCTCTAGAGTAGGTGAAACTTGAACTCAGGCCTTCTAGCTCAGAGGTAGGGACAGTGCCAGCACACAACAAGAGGCCCTAAACAACATTGCTGAACAGACTGATTAAAACTGTCAAACAAATGTCATCCCCATTGCCAATTGTGTTTTTTACCCCCTAAATTTAAAAGGGCAACTATTGTGAAAACAAAATGTTTTAATAGAAGCAAACAACAAGCAGGTGTTGTTACTTTGTGGCAATGACCCAGAATGAGTGATCTGGTGATCCAGGCTACGGGTTCAAATCCCATTATAGTATCTGGTGGAATTCATATTCAATTGAAAAAATCTGGAATTTAAAACTAAGCTCAACAATGGTGACTATCATCGATTGTTGTAAAAACACATTTGCTTCACTACTGCCTTTTAGGGAAAGAAAATTGCCTTCTTAACCTGATCTGACCTACACATAACTCCAGACCCAGAGTGCTGTGGTTGATGTTCAACTTCCTACTGAAGTGACTGGGCAAGCCACTCAGTTCAAGGGCAGTTAGGGATGGGCAACAAATACTATTCTCACCCCATGAAAGAACAAATGAAACAATTCTCCCACCCAGGCCTGAGATGGTGCTTTATGATTTCACCTGGTTTCTCTTGCTCCTTCTCTGATTAATCTATGAAGTTTTGCACTTCACATATTTATCCTATTGTCTTTTGAAAATCTTTGATGAATCTGCTTCCACCGCAACATCCTCCAAATCATATCAGTTACCTTTGATCTCTTTTCCCTGGTTCCTGACATTCTGCTTCTAAAAACTGTTTTCCCCCTTTTGTAGAAACAGGAATGATGGATTCCAATATGATCAAAGAGAAAAGCAGAAAAAAAACTCAGCTGCTCATGTAGCATCTGTGGTGAAAAACAGTGAATAACTCATCTCCTGACTCCCCAAAGCCTGTCCACCATCTACAAGGCACAAGTCAGGAGTGTGATGGAATACTCCCCACTTGCCTGGATGGGTGCAGCCCCAACAACACTCAAGAAGCTTGACACCCTCTAGGTCAAAGCAGCCCACTTGATTGGCACCACATCCACAAACATCCACTCCCTCCACCACTGACACCCATTAACAGCAGTGTGTACTATCTACAAGATACACTTCAGAAATTCATCAAATATTCTTAGAAAGCACCTTCCAAAACCACAACCATTTCCATCTAGAAGGACAAGAACTGCAAATACATGGGAACACCACTCCCTGCAAGTTCCCCTTCAAGTCACTTACCATCCTGAGTTGGAAATATATCGTAGTTCCTTCAGTGTTGCCGGGTCAAAATCCTGGAATTCCCTGCCTAATGGCATTGTGGGTCAACCCACAGCAGATGGAACGCAGTGGTTCAAGAAGGCAGATCACCACCACTTTCTCCAGGGCAACTAGGGACAGGCAATAAATGTTGGCCCATCTTGTGAGTGAATTTATAAAAGAAGTGTTCATGGTACAGGTCGATGATCTGACCTGAGCTCTTGTGAGGACCCCTTGACCTGAAATGTTAACTCTCTCCTCAGGTGCTGCCAAATTTTGTTGAGTATGAATGGATTTGTTTGCTCTTATTTCAACTTTCCGCAGTATTTTTCTTTGGCATTGAAGAACCCATCCTTGTGAGTGTCCCTTTAAATCAAAAACTATTTCGGGCACTTTGCTAGCTACAGAACACAGGATCCATTTAATTCATCCTGCACTTGAATCTGAATAAAGGATATACATATCTGGAAATAGAACAGTTACTTTGGTGAAGTCAAAAAATTCCCGTGATAGTTAGATTGAAAGCTATTTTCTCACCAATGTCATACTTTATGTGACCCACTATTGCACTGTGCCTGTCTTTGGAATGATTGATGCTGCTGGTAAGTTCCTCTCTCAGCTTTGCACAGAAATGATTTTCTGATGAAGGGTCTAGGCCCGAAACGTCAGCCTTTCTGCTCCTATGATGCTGCTTGGCCTGCTGTGTTCATCCAGCTCTGCACCTTGTTGTCTCGGATTCTCCAGCATCTGCAGTTCCTACTATCACATGTTCTCAGGTAATTTGGTAATAAAAGCTAGTAACATGAAGGAGATGGAGGATTGAGGGAGAAGAGCTTTGGCATTGCCTATGGGGCAGCTGGAAAGGAGTAAGAGGGATAGTACATCGTGGATGGGAATGGAATGGATTGGGATGGGATGGAATGGAGGATGTTGCATAAGGTGGTCTCGAAAGGATGAGCTATCAGATGGTGGGGTGGGGCTGGAGTGGACTGAGATGAGTTGGGGAGGGAAAACATGGGATGCTGTGTGTGATCAGATGTAATATGTTGGCATGGGTTAGCCTGGGGAGGGAGGGAATAAGATGGAATGGGCTGTTCGGGATTGCCTGTGTTAGGGTGAGGTGTGCTGGAATAGATTGGCATGCATGCAGTGGTGTAGGATTGGGTTGCATTTTATTATTATCATTGGGGCCCTATGCCCAGAGTAGGAAAAATAACAAAGAGCACCAAAAATGTTGGCAACTATTAATCAACTTAATCAATGGAAATGGTGAAACGAAGGATTTTCAATTATTATTGGAGGATTCCTCATGTTTTTACATGAAATAGAAACACTAGAAAGTTCCTGCTTCCTACAAGGGAATTCACAGAATCATTTCTAGCAGAGGGTTACAAATATTTTTTTACTTCATGAGATGTGGGTGTCACTGACAAGGCCAGTATTTATTGCCCATCCCTAACTTCCCTTGAATGGAGTGGCTTGATAGGCTTTTTTAACAACACTGTTAAGAACTACCACATTACTTTGTGTCTGAAATCACTTGTTGGCCAAACCATGAGATGTTGGAACAGAAGTAGAGTCATTTGACCCTATTGAGCTTGCTCCACCAATCAATGAGATCACGGCAGATCTGATAATCCCCAGTTTGAATTTCCAGCCTTTTCCCCTTACCTCTTGGTTGTCTCCCTGGTAACACCATAAAACACAACAGAGGGAGGCCATTCAGCCCTTTGAGTCTGCTCTGCTATGATAAGATTGGCAAGTTTGCTTCCCTGAAGGACATTATTGAACCAGATGGTTTTTCTTAATAATGATAGTTTCATAGTCGCTTTTACAGAATAGCTTTCAATTCCAAATTTATTTATTGAATTTAAACTACACCAGAGGTCATGGTGGGATTTGAATCCTTATTCGTAGAATATTAGCCTACGCCTAGTGAATTACCACTTCACCCCCATCTCCCCAAACATAGCCGTGTGGAAAATTACTAAAGCAAAGAGAATGGTTTCTAGGTCCGAGCAGATATGTTTCTGGAGAAAGTGGGATTGTGGAACAAGAGGCTTCAAAGACAGCACATTCGGATCTGTCAATAAACTAGAAGGTTGTTGGGTTGACTGTCAAATATTAAGTTAAATATGTCTAAATTTCTACCAGACAGATTATTGCATGTATTATCCATTCTCTGAAAACCTTGTTAATATCTATGGTATTATGAGCATTCGTTCTCCAGTTTACACAGTTTGTAATAATTCAGGACATACACCTTTATGGTGTTTCAAAGCAATTGGCAAAATCAAGGGGAGAAATTGGGAGAAGCCTAAAAAGATAGTTGAAGCGGATTTAAGTTCAACTCAAAAGAGGATTTTGATGAATATTTGAAGAGGAGAAATTTGCATCGTTGTGGGGAAAATGTGTTGGACGTTGGGAATTAGTGGATGGCTCTTTCTGAGAGCTGGCATGGGCCAGTGACCTCTTTCAGTGCTGTATGATTCTATGTGATATACAGGAATTTTGTATTGTAGATCTATGTAGGTATTCGCTTGCATATAAATATCCATTCACATTTTATGTATTGTGTGTTTGCATGTGTATATGTGTATGCAGGCTTCTGTAATTGTGTGTATGCCCATATAAGTGAGTGGACAGTTTTAATGCTTATTTATTACTGTCACTGGAAAGTTCAACAAAATCTGCATTTTGCTGCACAGCATTTGACGTGCAAAAAAAGTCACTAGACTGGTACCAGGAATGATGAACTTCATTTCCATTGAGAAATTACAAAAGGTGAGCTGTTCTTTGTGAAAAAAAATTAGACAGAGGTTTGTCAGAATTTTTCAAAGCAAGACTGTTTCCTTTGGTAACCAGGTCGATAACCAGAAGACACAGGGTTAAGGTAATTAGCAAAGGAAACATGAGGAATTTTCTGAAGAAGAGTGTTCTGAAGAAGAATCAGACTGGCCTTTTCTCTTTATTCATTCACAGGATGAGGGCATTGCTGGCTAGGCAGCAATTACTGCCCATCCCTAATTGCCCAGAGGGCAGTTAAGAGTCAACCACATTGCTGTGGGTCTGGAGTCACATGTAGGCCAGACCAGGTAAGGATGGTAGTTTCCTTCCCTAAAGGTCATTAGTGAATCAGATGGTTTTTTTTCCCAACAATTGACAATGGACTCATAGTCATCATTAGACTCTTAATTCCAGATACGTATTGAATTCAAATTCCACCATCTGCCGTGGCAGGATTTGAATGTGGGTCTCCAGAGCATTATCTGCGTCGCTGGATTAACAGTCCAGTGATAATACCACTAGGCCACCGCCTTCCCTTAACACGTTAATACTTGACACGTTAACTCTGGTTTTCTCTCTCCACAGACCTGTTTCTCCAGCATTGTCTGTGTTAGTTGAGGATTTTTGTTTGAGTGTGTTGTTAGGCATTGCCTGAAAGGATGGTGAAAGAAGAGCTAATAGCAGCTTTCAAAAGGGAATTGGAAAACAAATATTTAAAGGGAAACAAAATACAGGACAACAGTGAAAGAGCAAGGGGAAATGAGATTGATTGAGTCTTGCCAAAAAACTGTTGAAGTTTTTCATCTAGCACTCATCAGGTCATCCACATGTAAAGTGAAACAACGTTTTGTTCCAACCACTATTCCATCCACCACCTTCATTGCTGGTGAAGTGTACAAGATGCACTGCAACAACTCACCAAGGTTCCTTCAAGAGCACCTTCTAAATCTATAATCTTTACCAGCTAGAAGGACAAGGGCAGAAGATGCAGGGGAACACCACCCCCTGCAGGTTCCCCTAAAAAATCACACACTGTCCTGACTTGAAACATGTATTTGCTGTTCCTTCACTGTTGCTGGATCAAAATCCTAGAATTCCATTCCTAACAGCTTCATGGATGTCATAGAATCCCTATAGTGTGGAAGCAGGCCATTTGGCCCATTGAGTCCACACCAACCCTCCAAACAGCACCCCACCCCATTCCTGTAACCCTGCATTTCCCATGGTTGATCTATCTAGTCTGCACCTCCCTGGATACAATGGGCAATTTCCCATGACCAATCCACCTGACCTGCACACCTGTGGATCACAGGAGGAAGCCTGCACACCCAAAGGAAATGCCCATACACACGGGGAGAATATGAAAACTCCACACAGACAATCACCGAAGGCTAGAATGGAACCTGGGTCCCTGGTTCTATAAGGCAGCAGTGCTAACCACTGAACTGCCATGCCTTCTTTACACCAGACGCCCTTATACCCAAGTATTATCATCTAATATGGTCAGGAAGAATTCCTGAGATTTAATGGAATGAGAGGATAGGTGATAGATATATTAATTAAGAATTTGCTGGGTTTAAGTTGGTTGTATAAATACAGGGAGCTAATATTCAGTGGGATTCGAGCTTTATGGAGCATGGCCAATTGAAATAAAACTCCCATAAAAGTGTGGACTTGAATTCTGCTTAAATACAGTTAATACATGGAGTATAACACACGGACTGCAGCTGTTAAAGAAGGCAGATCACCACCACTTTCTCAAAGGCAAATAAAGGATTGGCAATAAATGCTGGCCTTGCTGATGATGCCCTTGCGTCAGCAATGAACAAAAGGAGGACAGCTGAACTCATAGCATGTTCCAGATCATTCACTCGTTGCAAAAATATGGCAAATGTTGATTTGTGTCAATAAGGAATTTGTTTTCTATTCATAGTAAAACAGTGAATTACTGATAAAGCCTTGGGTCTCCATTCTCTGAAAAAAATAAAGACATTTTATACAGAGACAAAACATTACGCTCTTTCATTGTTCATTAAAGTATGACATTTTTCAGCAGAAATATATGACTGCTTGTCAGATGTATTGAAAGCTCTGTTCTTGCTCATCTCTATTGTTATCAAACTACAGTCTTCTGCTTTCTCGCTCTCTCTCTCTGTTAGTTTGCTAAAGTGTTTGGGTACAGTTCCACAGGCATCAGCTCCCATATAATCTTCTGAGATCTCTGCGCTCTTCCAATCCTGATTTCTTGTAAACCTCTAATTTTAATAATTTCACAATTTGCAGATGTGACTTGCACTGCCAAGTTCTGGAATCCCATCCCTAAACCTGCCTGTCTCTCTTTCTTGTCTCTGTAAGCTGCTCCATAAAACCCAACACTTCAATCATCCATCTTATAAACTCCTAACATGGCTCAATCTTTTTTTGAACACCTGCCCTTATGAAGTGCTGGGGGACATGCTATAATGGTAAAGGTGTATGCAAATGCAATTTGTTGTTTTTATATAGGGTAGAGTGTACCACTACACGATTTCTCATATTAATACCAATTATTTTAAATGAGGTAATGAAGGCACAGTGAGCTGAGTGCCTCAACAGATTGATTTCTCCAGAATTTGATAACACACCAGTGCAGTAACCAAAATCACAGAGATCAAAATGAAAGGAAGTGATCATATTACATGAATGTTCATGAAGCTAGTCTGATAGGGAGATGACATTTGAATTCTTGCACTTTGCTGTAACTGAGAAAAGGAAAAGACTTACTTTGGTTGAAGCAGACGTTCGGATAGATAGAAGGGGATCATCCAGCAGGTAAGACAGTCCCTGCAGGACCAACAGAAGACAAAATAAAAACAGTTATGAACTTCAAGTATTGATCTTAATGTTGTAGCAATGGAGATTGGAGTTGGTACAGGTTATCATAATATTCTTTAATTCTAACCTCAATCTCAATTGCTGTCTGTACTAATCTATCCAGATACAGGTTCCATAATATTGTCCTTGAAATAAATGCTATGACTTTAAGTCATAGGTTTGGATTTTGTGCTTAAGTTGTCTTTGTGGTGTGACTTGTTTTCCTTGGCTTCATTCGTGTCAGTCCAGTAAATAGGATGAGCTGCCAATTCTCAAAGAGAAGAAACTAGCAAATAACAATCAGGTTTGAGTATTCACTTTTTAAACTTTTACAGAGAGTGAAATAAAGATTGACATGTGTGTGGGACTAAGGCAAATGACAAAATATCTTTTAAAAATACTTTTAAAATAATAATGGACTAGACAGATTTGGCACTCTATTAACATAAAATCAATTTCTTTGGGCCAAGAGAGGTTGTTTGTAAGTAATTATGACCTGGAACCAATGTTCCCTCTAAGCTGCTGGGAATATTGCTGCACTGCAATCAGAGTGTGCTGCACTGAGAGGAAGCTGGGCACAACCCTCATCTCCTTAACAGTGTACACATGTACAATTGTCTGTAATTTCTAAGGACCATGCAATGCAACACCAAGATGTGTACATCAATTAGAAGGAACATTGTGTACTACATCATTAAACTACAGAGATGCATAATCTTTTCAAGGATAACAAAGTGTAGAGCTGGAGGAACACAGCAAGCCAGGCAGCATCAGAGGAACAGGAGAGCTGACGTTTTGAGCCGGGACCCTTCTTCAGAAATGTTTTCAAAAGTTTTTTTTAGAAAGTGCAAATGGAAATTGAGAGTTCATGTTAATTCAGTGATTTCATATTAATTCCTCACATCTGAGGGCTACATAAAAGATCTTGCAGAGGAGCGGGGTCACTGATAGCAACATCTGGATTTCTGTAATTAATACCACATGTATGATTGTCAGATGTTGCTTCCTGTTTTACTGTATAATAACAGTGAATACTAATAATTCCACAGTCATAGCAACTCAAAATACAGCCAGTGCCTTCATTACAAGGGCAGGAGTGCAAACAGTTTAGTGCTTGTAGCTCTGACAATTGCAGGCTGCAATATATGTTCAGTAATTGTTCACACTTGTCATGTGTAAATTACTTTATACTAAATTACACGTAAGTGGGAAGGTCCCTGAAAAATGAAGAGAGGTATTTGCAAGTGTAGTAGGATATTGCCACATTTAATAGTCTTGGGACAGTTAAAAGGGTTGAATAGGTAAATTGCCCAATGATTTTAGTGAACAAATTGTGGGGACTGTGTAGAACAATAAGAATATAAAGCGTGATAAGCATTAATGGACACCATTAACATGTTGAGCTATTCTCGGTGGCTCTTGTTTTCAATTTATGCTGTGCACAAATTTTATTAAAACTAAACTAGAACATAAAATGAATTAGCAGACACTTAGCCAGAGATAGCAACCACCCTTGAGAATGCTGAATCCATTTTGTTTGGCAACCTATCTCATCCTATTATAGAAGATGGACTTCGATAGTTTATAAGTGAGAATTACATTATGCAGACTACACCTACAACTGAACAGAGCAGAAGTCACAGTGCTGTACAATTTAATACCTTGCTGTTGAATTTTTCCTAATCCTGTCCTCACTTCTTGATTAGTCTTGACTCAGGAGCCAACTCCAATTTTCAACACCTTACTCAAAAAAGGCTCATTTACTTGTGACTGAAAGACCCCACAGCCCAGCTCAATGTTGCTCTGTTCCATTCTGCACACAGGCACACAAATGCACATCGATACACACATGGCGATAAGCACAAGCATGTATTTCTGCAAATGCATGTGATGAGAATATATTCCTATAGCTCTACACAGTCCCCACTATTGGCTCGCTAAAAAGTATTGGACAATTTATCTGTTCAACACTTTTGACTGCCCCAAGACTATTAGATATGACAATATCCCACTGTACTTGCAAATACCTCTCTTCATAATTCAAGGACCTTCCGTTTTAGGTCTAATTGGGTATAAAAGTTAATTGCACCACAGAAATTCACATGGAAACATCTATACACATGCACACACGCGTCTGCATAGGGACACATACTCTTTCAGCTGTGATGTTGTCAGGACCAGCAACTCATTTTCTCTCCAAGACTGTCGTAATATTTTTTTAATCAACCTGTTCAGAGATGTTATTACAAATCTGAGGAGCATGCGGGGCTTAAACCCAGCTCTCCTGGCTAAGAGGTAGGGACACAACTACTGCACCACGACAGTCCCCTCAAACCTTTGATATTCACTTCCACTTAACACTTACGTGTGTCCACAAACACACACATGTGCCCACACTTTTGCACACATTCTATACCTGGTGTGTGATGCTGTTGGGTTATTTTCTTTCCTAATACTAATCCATTAGTTCCTGCACCAGCTGAGGTTACTGTGAAGGTTTCACATTCCCAACATCGTCCTGTGCCTGAAGCATGATGACTCTCGAGATAAACTTACCATCAGTCTCTGTGTCTCTAATGAAAACGTACCCCTATTGTCATCTGTGGGGGTCTTGTAGTCAACCCTGCCAGCCCTAGCACCTCACTTAACAAGATTAACCAACAGCGCAGCATGGGACCTTCCCACCTTCATGGCTCAAGTAGAAGACAGGAGAGATGTTGGAGGGAGATTATTTTAGTGAAATTTAACATGAGAGATGTAATGAAACAATTAAAAGATCTGGAGTCTGGAGTTCCTATAAAAACCAAAAGAGCTGCGGATACTGTAAATCAGGAACAAAAACAAAGTTGCTGGAAAAGCTCAGCAGGTCTGGCAGCATCTGAGAAGGAGAAAACAGAGTTAACGTTTTGGGTCCGGTGAGGAAGGGTCACTGGACCCGAACCATTAACTCTGTTTTCTCCTTCACAGATGCTGCCAGACCTGCCGAGCTTTTCCAGCAACTTCTGTTTTCGTTCAGGAGTTCCTATAATGCCCCCCTCCCCCAGCTGCTAACACTCACTTTGAGGAATTTCGCTTGTAGGCTTACAGTTTAAAAATTGTTCATGATTAATATTTTTTCGGTTGTCTATTAAGCTGAAGAAAGCAGAGTAAACAACATCAACATGAAAGTTTATTGCCAAAGGTTTGAAAATCTCTGTTTGTAAATGAAGCCACTTGAAATGACAGTATACGGAATTGAATGAACAGAGGGTTGTGATGAGTTTGAAAAGGATTTGTTCTCCCTGTGCTTTCTCCTTTTCACCATTTGAATGTTACATCTCACCACAGCCTGACACTGCAGAATATTTACACAACCCAGAAGGGGTTCAGCATTGTTAATGTGTTAAATACATTAATTTGTAGGACCTAATCTATCGGCAGCACATTTGGAGGTGTTAATCTCTACAGCTGGTCATCAATAGAAGGGATTTTTAAATCTTTGATTCACATTGATGGGACTGGAATTAACACAATTCCACAGAGGAGACACAATCTAAACATTTTCCAAGGGAATAGTGAGCCTGATCGAGTCTGTCCACTACTCTTACAGTTCTGTTTGAACCTCAGCTTTGATAGCACCTTTTCCAGTGTCTGAGGCTTTGGAGCATTGCATTTGCTTTGAGCATCTGTTTTAAAGAAAATGGCATCAACTCTTCTCAGGGTACACCAAGTTCCTACAAAGTCCCTCTCGAACCCACACACCATCCTGACTTGGAAATCTATCGTCATTCATTTGGGTCAAAATCTTGGAACTCCCATCCTATCAACATTGTGGGTCTATCAATCCCACAATGAACTGCAGTGGTTCAAGAAGGCAGCTCACCACCGCAGTGAGTGTAATGAGGTCAGCCAAGTGGATCTCATAAAAAATGAGTTCCCTGATTTGTGTTGTAAATCTGGTCCTATGAGGGAGTCCTGGCTGACAGATAAGAACAGGAGCGTCAGACATCCTGCTCACTCTGAGAGCTGGCTCTGAGGGAGCCGGATCAGTGTCAAGGACTCTCCATGTGTAAATAAAGGATCACTTGGTGACAGGATACTGGTCTCTGTGGAGTTATTTCAACCACCACCTCCTCCAGCACAATAAGGAATGGCCAACAAATGCTGGCCTAGCCAGTGACGCCCACATTTCTGTGAATTAAAAAAAAAGAAATAGGAAAAACCAATGTCTGAAATTCTGAACCAGTCAGAAATGTATCCCTAATGAATCATTTGGACTTTGATCGTAAAGTCATAGAGTTATACAGCACGGAAACAGACCCTTCAGTCCAACACATCTGTACTGACCAGACATTCCAGCCTGACCCAGTCCCATTTGCCGGTATTTTTATAGAACACACAGTCTCCGAGTACCACCAATATTGCAGTCGAGTATTCCGCATCTGGGGATATTGCAGGCATCAGCCCACCCGAAGTGCAATGGGATAGCTTTGTTCTGGGAGAATGGCCTTTTGGATCACAGTCTCTACCCTGCCAGGTCAGCATATTTCTGTTCACTGTTTTTGAATAAAGGTTATTTAACCTGCTTTGTGCAGAATTAATCAATTTGGCTGGATTGGGTGTTTGCCATGCACAGTTCTTGTCTGGAAAGAGGATAAACTGGGAATTAAATTGGATTTGTACAGTATGCAATGAGCTAGGCCTATTGATATTTATCCTCTCGAAGAAATACTTTTGAATCACTTGTCTCACCTTGATCCATATCACTGTTTTACTTCAACCACTTCTCTAACCTATCCTTAAACTTCCTTGTGATCTCTGCTTCAATCACTAACTCAGTGACTCATTTCACCACAAACCCTACATTTCTCCTGCTTTCTGCCCCGAATCCCTTTTGTTTAACTTTATATCTGCTCCCTCTTGGTGGCAGTAACAGTTTGAACCTGGGGTTTCTGTTCTCTGCCTTGGTGGATCTTCTGATCTGGTGTTTCTCATCGGAAAACAGCCTGACAGGGTGGGGACAGGTTTGGACTTCACTGTGATGCCCCACGTGTTCAATAGCCAGTCAGTACCACTGCTACTTGTGACGCAAATGATATCTTTTCTGTATCTAGCCCGAAGCTTGGGATTGAGTCCCAAATTGGGTGAAGAGGAAATGTAGTCATGGTCATAGCATGGTCAAACAGGTAGGTTATTGATATCTAAACCCAAAGCACCCAGGGTGGGCAGTGACAGTGGGAGAGTGTGCTCAGTCTGAATGGAGGAGGAGTTGCAGTGGAATAGCCATCCCATGTTAAAAGACTCCACATGCGAGCTCTTCCATAGAGTTAGCTTTTTGTCCTCAGACATAGTAAGAACTGCCGATGCTGGAGTCAGAGATAACACAGTGTGGAGCTGGAGGAACACAGCGGTCCAGGCAGCATCAGAGGAGCAGGTAAACTGATGTTTCGGGTCGGGACCCTTCTTCAGAAATAGGGGAGGGGGAAGGGAGCTCCGAAATAAATAGAGAGAGGAGGGGTGGGGCTGGGGAAAGTAGGTGGGATTGTGATTGGTGAGTGCAGGTAGGCAGTGGTGGGGATTGGTCAGTGAAGTGGGAGGAGCGGATAGGTGGGAGAGAAGATGGACAGGTTGTGTCAGGGCAAGGGGGCAGGGATGAGAGGCAGGGTTGGTCATGGGATGAGGGCGGGGGGTGGGGAGATTTTGAAACTGGTAAAGTCCAATCCCCACCACTGCCTACCTGCACCCACTTATCACCATCCCATCCACCTTCCCCAGCTCCATCCCTCCTTTCTCTATTTATTTCAGAGCTCCCTTCCCTCTCCCCCATTTCTGAAGAAGTGTCCTGACCCGAAACATCTGCTTTCCTGCTCCTCTGAGGCTGCCTGGCCTTCTGTGTTCCTCCAGCTCCACACTGTGTTAACTTTGTGTCCTCCTAGCTTTGAGGGACTACCAGAGAGTTGGTTTCTTGATGGAGGCACGGGAAGGGATGTAGTATCTGTGGGTTTAGAGCCCAGCAGGAGCCAACACCTTCAGAGGAGGGGGATAGAACTTATTAGCTTGGCCACCTCCTATGTCTCTCTAAAATCCTTTAGCCCAGAGTATTTCCTGGAAAACTGGACATGGGTTTGGACTTATTTAAATAAAGCGTAAAAAGTAAGGAGAAGATGCGACCCAGATCCATTTGCTGATAACAAATTCATCCTGGGTTTTGTGACAGGTTTGTTCAATTCTGTACGGATTGAGAGTGGGAATGGATTGTCAGATAGATTTTGATGGAGGAGTTGCAAAATTCCCAGAAATTGCCAGGATGTAAGAGACCTCCAGCTCCCTCACCAAACCTGCTTCTCCTTGCTAGGCTCTCAAACCAGATGTTAAATAACAAGCAAAGAGGACAGAAAAAGTAACCACTTAGGCTAAAGCTGGGAGGTGGGCTCCTAATTCAGTCAGATGCCAGACTGAGAGACTTTGAACATTAAAGTAATGGTTGAACCTTTTCCAAATCTTAAAGTGGCTGTGCTGAGTGAGGTTGAAGATTGCATATCACCTGCCTGTGTGGTAGACAGACAAGAACGCAGGTTTTGTGTTTTAGACTTTATTTTCCATGGACATGACTCCAGGGAACATTCAGAAGCAATGTTGACAGGTTGGAATGCTAAACAAGAGTCTATACATTTTTTTACTGGAGTCTCAAAGGCAAACTTCTACAGCATGTGTTCAGCTGCACCTGCACAAGGGAGTTAAAGGGTCTGTTGACTTACAGTTGTTCTCTCTAAGCAATGGAGCAGATGGTGATGCTGTCTAGCCACAGCTGAGCCAGGTTTGTTCAGAGATTGCTGCTGTTCCTTATCACTCGAGTCCTGGAATGACAGTAACATAAAGAATCAGTTTGTACTACATTTGAAATCAATGCTATTGTTTACAGAAAGAGGCCACTCAGTCCCACTGAACGCGTGTTATCCCTCTCCAAGAGCAATCGAACCAGTTCCCCTCCACAGCTCTTTCCCGGAAACCTGACCACCTCCCTTTGTCCTCAAGCGTTGATCCAATTCCTTTCAGAAAGACAAAATAAAGAACTGTGGATGCTGGAGTTCTCAAACAAAAACAGAAATTGCTGGTGAAACTCAGCAGGTCTGACTGCATGCTGAGAGAGAACACAGTATTAATGTTTCAAGTTTGGAGTTCTAATGCAGAGCCACTGGACTCGAAACATTAACCTTTTCTCCCCACAGACGTTGCCAGACCTTTTGAGGTTCGCTGGCAATTTCTGTTTTTGTTTTCTTTTCTAAAAGCCCTGATTGAATTTACCTCCATGACAGTCTCGGGTAGTGAATCGTAGATCTGAAGCATATGCAGCACAAAATAAATAAGGTTCTCCCCATGTCATCTTTGGTTCTTCCGCCATTCACTTTTAAACCAATGTCCTCTGATTCTTGTCCCTTGCACTAAGGGAGCAATTTCTTTCTATCTTCCCTGTCCAGACCACTCATGATTTTCAATACCTCTGTAAAATTTCCTCTCTGATGTGGAGGTGCTGGTGTTGGATCAGGGTGGACAAGGTCAGAAATCACATCACATCAGGTTATAGTCAACAGTTTTATTTGAAATCACAAGCTTTCTGAGCATTGCTCCTTTGTCACTTCATCTGACAAAGGACCAGCCCTACAAAAGCATGTCATTTCAAATCAATCTGTTAGGCTATAACCTGATGTCATATGACTTTTGAAATCTCCTCTCAACCTTCTCTTCTTCCAGGAAAATATAAGAACATAAGAACCAGGAGCAGGAGTAGGCCATCCGGCCCCTCGAGCCTGCCCCACTATTCAATAAGATCATAGCTGATCTTTTCATGGACACAGCTCCACTTACCCGCCTGCTCACCATAACCCTTAATTCCTTTACTGCTCAAAAATCTATCTATCTTTGTTTTAAAAACAGTCAATAAGACAGACTCAATTGCTTCACTATAGGAAGGGAATTCCACAGATTCACAACCTTTTGGGTGAAGAGGCTCCTCCTCAATTTAGTCCTAAATCTGCTAACCCTTATTTTGATGCTATGCCCCCTAGTTCTAGTTTCACCTAGTAGTGGAAACAACCTTCTTGCTTCTCTCTTATCTATTCCCTTCATAATTTTAATACAGTCCGACTTCTCCAAACTTTCCAAGTAACTGAAGTCCCCCATTCTTATGCTCGTGATTTCAAATAAACCTGTTGGACTATAACCTGGTGTCATGTGACTTCAGATCTTGTCCACCCCAGTCCAACACCAGCATCTCCACGTGAGAAAAGAAATTTGACAGAGGTATTCAAAATCATGAGGGGTCTAAATAAGGTAGTTAGAAATAGAAACATTTTCTTTAAGGTGGAAGGAGATTGACTATTGTTAGGCTCTGGAATCAATAACTATCCAGAGTAGTTGGGAATGTGAAATTCAAAACATAAACAGAGCAGCCATGATCTTATTGACTGGCAGGGAAGGCTGAAGGGACCGAATGGCCTACTTATGGGGTGGTCCTGGTGTGTAGTTGGGATGGGCTTCATTGGTTAGCTCAGTTGGCAGATAAGTAGCGTATGGTATAGAATAAAGACAACAACATGGGTTCAATTCCTGTGGTATCTTATGGAGTCCCTGACTCTTTACCCAATGGAGTGGTTACCCTTAAGCTACACATAACAATTGGAGGAAAGGAGCAGCCAAAGTTTTGGGTATAAGAAGGGACGTTGACCGTTCCTTTCCTCCAGACGCTGCCTGGCCTGCTGTGTTCTTCCAGCCTCCTGTTTGTCTACCTTCAATTCCAGCATCTGCAGTTTCCTCATCTCTACATATAACAATTGGTTCTTTCTCGTAGATACGGGTGTTAATGATACTTTGTGGACCAAATCTCCTTACTGTACCATCAGGTCATTAATGGTGTATGAGGGATAATGTACGTTGTAAAAGGCATTGAAATATTCAATCACCTATTTTAATCAATGGTGGAGTGAATTGAAGGGCTGAATGGCCTACATCTGTTCCTAATTATTACACTCATATTCTTCTCAGGGTCTAGTTGTCAATATTTTTCCCGGTTGATAATTGTCTGTCCCACCGTGTACCCTGTCCGGCATGGTATAGATTCAGCGTTCCTTTACTACCCAAAGCAGTCTTTATTTACATATAAACCTGACCATTCTTTATATCTAAACCTGGTCAGGAATTTTACAAAGCTATTTGCCTGGAGAAGGTGTCACTTTGCAGCTTAGTTTATGTGGTACCTCTCCACTTGCCTTGAAGTCAAGAGGTCAAGGGTTTAAGCCACATTCTGGGTATCGAGCCCTTAATTTATATTGAGAGATGTGGGCAACGTCAGGCTATTGGAACGAGAGGTATGGGGTATTTCAAAAAGTCATAGTGAGTGATTTTACAGCGATAATTAATGGGTTTATCTGAAGGTGATGATGGGGCTGTATTCAAGTGTTACTTTGAATAGTGTGAAACAGATTGTGAGATGTTAGTTTGAGGGAAGTAGGAGATATCAGCCAGAACTGGTGAGGAGTTTAGGGCATATCAAACTGTATTAAAGTGAACGGGCAGTGTTGCACTGAGGGGAAGAGGTTATGGGCTTATCTGCAATCAGTAATACTTGGGATTTAATCAATTATGTAGTCAGTAGTAATGTTATTAATGGGGACTGTCTGACCACTTTACATTTAACCAAAGCAGGCCATCTTTACAACTAATGTTTAACTCAAACTATTGAAGGAAATGGTCCATTTTTGATTTGTTGACACTTGAACAAAAGCCAGGATGATGACTAGTGTTACACAAGAGGTTGCCAGCCACAGGTGGAGTCACGGGATGGAGTTTGATTGAGGGACAGTATAACTTGGGGCTGTTTTTGTATTTTCAGAAGCCATCTTAATTAGCAATGCCCTGATGAAGGGTCTAGGCCCGAAACGTCAGCCTTTCTGCTCCTATGATGCTGCTTGGCCTGCTGTGTTCATCCAGCCCTGCACCTTGTTGTCTCGGATTCTCCAGCATCTGCAGTTCCTACTATCTCTTAATTAGACCAATTTGGACTTACACTTTGCCTTAGAAAACATTTCTTGTTCTTTCTCTTTCGCTCTCTCTCTTTCTCTCTCACACTCTCCCTCCCACCTTCCTTCTCTCTCTTTGTCTTTCTCTTTATATTTCCCTCCTTCTGTCCCTCTTTCTTTTCCTTTCTATCTTTTCTCTCCCTCTTGCGTTCTCTCTCTTCTTTCCTTCTCTCTTTTTCTCTCCCTTGTTTCTTCTTCCTTTCTTATTAGTTAGTCATTTGTAATAATTTACTAAATTTGTTGCATTTATATATGGTACCGTACAGTGTCGCTCATTCTCATTACATCTAAATCTAAGTAAGACTGTGCAAGGGACTCTTAGCCTGAAAGATATTTCAGGAAGTTGTAGGGAGACATTTCAGAAAGGTCTGAATATGATATAGTGAGGAGTATATCAAAGCATGGTACAGTGAAGGTTATGAGACATTCTGAAGGCTGCACTGTATATCAGGATATGAGAATGAAGAATATGTGGTACATAAGACTCTAAGACCATAAGACATAGGAGCAGAAATTAAGCCATTCGGCCCATCGAGTCTGCTCCGCCATTCAATCATGCCTGATAAGTTCCTCAACCCCATTCTCCTGTTTTCTCCCCATAACCCTTGATCCCCTTGATAATCAAGACCTGCGAATGTTATAGTAAAATGTGTAAGCTATACGTGTAAGCAAAATTCCAAAAGAGCTGCAGTTGCTAGAAATCAGAAACAAAAATAGAGATTGCTGGAGAAACTCATCAGGTCTGGCGGCATCTGTGGAGAGAAAGCAGAGTTAATGCATCAGGTACAGTGACCCTTCCTCAGAGCCATTATATGTGTATGTGTGTGTAATAGAGATGGGTGTGTATTATTGACTTTTGGTACAGTTCAGTTTATTTGTGTGTGTGTTATAGTGACAAGAGGTAAGGGGGGGTACTGGGGATTTGTATAGAACATGGCAGCCCAACTCAGTCAAACTGGAGGAGAAATAAATGAGACAGACTCAATCAAACCCCAGTGTTCTTGGGAATGATTCACCACTTTGCTTCCAGGCAATCATTTCCAAACAGCCTTGATCTCTGCATCTAATCTCTAAGAAAGTGTAATATTGAACTTACCGTGAGCTCTAGTGCCTCGTTCATCAAGCCGTTACGTTTGATTTGCAGGTAGGCGTTGGCATTCCCAGTCTTTGCTATCTTTATCCTCGCAAGCCTGGCTTTCTGTGAAGGAAATCAGATAGCCTCAACATTTATTCTCGAAACTATTTCATTCTCTAAGCAGTTTATCGCAACCCCTTTGCCCTTTGAACTTGACCCTTTACCAGCGTGGAACAATCCTTGTGCAAAGTGAGGAGATTTCAACCAGAGACCTGGTTCTCCACCAAGAAAGCCACCAACAAACACGGAGAATTGGACCCTATTTATACGTCACTGTGAAGAAATACCAGAAATGAGGTATTCAATTCCAACGGACGCCAGAGTTTAAAAACCAGGCGGGAAAACACACCGACGCTTCATCGGAGGCTGCACTGATGACGTTACCCAGCAGGGTAATGAAATGTCTGTGGAACAGCAATGAACCAGCTCGACGAGCCAACCAACCACAACATCCACAACCCGAGCTACAAATCTACTCAAGAACCTAAAATCCAAGGTAACTTTGGTCTCAAAACTAACAGAAGCTCTTTGTTGTTATTCTCTTGTTGAATTCATGTGGTCCAGAGCCTCATGAATGTATGCATGACTGCAGCAGAGACTTGGAGGCAATAACAGAAATTGCTGGAAAGGCTCAGTAGGTCTGGCAGTGTTTGTGGAGAAAAAGCAGAGTTAACATTTCAGGTTGAGTGACTCTTCTTCAGAATTTTCTTGATTCCTTTATTGATCAAAAATCTCTCTATCTCAACCTTGAATACACTTAATGGCACAACCTCAGCAGCCCTCAGTGGTAAGGAATTCCACAGAAGAAATTTCTCCTCATCACTGATTTCAATGTGTGATCTCGTATTCTGAGATGATATCCTCTGATCCTGGTCTATCCCACAATGGGGAAACAACCTCTCTGCATCTCCTCTGTCAATCTCCTAAGAACTGTGTACAATTCGCTAAGATTACCTTTCATTCTTCTAAACTCCAATGAGTATAGTTCTAATCAACTCAACCTGCCCTCAGAAGACATTGCCTCCATACCCAGTAACAGCCTAGTGAACCTTCTCTGGACTGCCTCCAATGCTAGAATATATTTCCTCAGACAAGGAGACAAAAACAGTTCACAATATTCCAGCTGTGGTCTGATTAGTGTCTTGTATAGTTTTAACATTACCTCTCTATGTTTGCACTTCATTCCCTTTGAAATAAAGGCCAACATTCCGTTTGCCTTCTGTATTACCCACTGAATTTGTGTGCTAGCTTTCAGTAATTCAGGAACAGGGACGCCCAATTCCCTCTGCGCTGTAGCTTTCCCCAGTCTTTCCCCATTTAAGTAATATTCAACTCCTCTATTCTTCCTGCCAAAGTGCATAACCTCACTTTTTTCCACATTATATTCCATCTATTAAGTTTTTGCTGGCTTGCTCACCTTGTCTATATCCCTCTGCAGACTCCGTGCTATCCTCACCACTTACCTTCCCACCTATTTTTGTATCATTCGTAAACTTGGTGATAGTACATTCACATCCTGCATCTATGCATTTAAAATATATTGTTAATAATTGTAGCCCCAGACTTATCTCTGTGTCACTCTACTGGTTACAGGTTGCCAACCTGAAAATGCCCCATTACCTCATCTCTCTGTTTTTTATCAGTTAGCCAATTCTCTATCTATTTGAATATCTCCAACATTATGGGCACTTCTTTTATTATATTAATTATATATTAATTATACATTTTAACCAACACTTTGTGGAAATCCAAATGTATTGCATTTACTAGTTCCCATTTATCTATCCTGCTTCTTATCTCCCCAAAGAATTCTAATACATTTTTCAGAAACGATTTGCCTTTCACGAAGTCATGCTGACTCTGCTTGATCATGCTATATATTTCTAAATACACTACAGTTACATCTTTTATAAAAGACGCTAACATTTTTCCAATGATAGATGTTAAGCTAAATGGCCTATAGAGGACTTTTTTTTTTTGTTTTCTCATTTTGAATAAGTGTGATACCTTGGCAGAGCATTTCCAATCCTCTGAGACTTTTCCCAAATTGAAAACATTCTCCAAAGGTTACTGCCAGTGCATTGACTATCTCTGCACCTATTCCCTTCAATACTTCAACCTCCCATCAGGTCCAGGGGAAATGTCACTTTTAGTTTCTCTAGTACTTCTCTCATATTAGTTTTTATATTTATTTCCATCCTCCACTTAATTAATTGATTTATTTATTGTTGCCACATGTACTGAGATATAGTGAAAAATGTTGTTTTGCATGCTGTACAGGCAGATCATTCCATACTAAGTGCCTCAGAGTAGCAGAACAGAGTGCAGAATACAGAGTTACAGCTGCAGAGAAGGTGCAGAGAGAGAATTTGTTTCTTAATTATGTAGTATTTTTGGAATGATGTTAGTGCCTTCTAACATAAACATCGATGAAAAATATTTATTCACTTCTGCCATTTCCTGGTTCCCCATTATTAGTTCCCCCAGACTCATTCTCTAAGGCATTTACACTCACTTTGGCTTCTCTCTTACTTTTTATATATTTTAAGAAACTCTTACTGTTTGTCTTGATATTACTTGTAAATGTACCTTCTAAGTTTATTTTCTCTTTCTTTATTACCTTTCCATTCGATACGAAGGTGGGTTGAGTCGTGGATAGTGCTTTAACCCTGAAAAGTGTGAGGTGATTCATTTTGGAAGGACAAATTTGAAAGCAGAATACAGAGTTATTGGAAAGATTCTTGGCAGTGTGGAGGAGCAGAGGGATCTTGGTGTTCATGTCCACAGTTCCCTGAAAGCTGCCACCCAGGCGGATAGAGTTGTTAAGAAGGCGTATGGTGTGTTAGCATTCATTATTTGAGGGATTGAGTTCAAGAGCCATGGAGTTATGCTCCAGCTATACAAAAGCCTGGATCAGCCACATATGGAGTATTGTGTCCAGTTCTGGTCGCCTCATGTGGAAGCGTTGGAAAAGGTGCAGAGGAGATTTACTAGGATGTTGCCTGGAATGGAGGGAAGGTCTTATGAGGAAAGGTTGAGAGAGCTAGGCTTTTCTCTTTAGAACGACGAAGGTTGAGAGGTGACTTGATAGAGGTGTACAAAATGATCAGAGGTGTAGATAGAGTGGACAGCCAGAGACTTTTTCCTAGGGTGGAGGTAGCTATTACGAGGGGGCATAGTTTTAAAGTGAGTGGAGGTAGATATAGGGGAGACATCAGAGGTAGGTTCTTTACTCAGAGAGTGGTCGGGGTGTGGAATGCATTGCCTGAGAGGGTAGTAGGGTTGGCCTCATTAGGTGCATTTAAGCCGCTATTAGATAGGCACATGGATGATAGTATAAGGTAGGGGTGGAGGTTAGATAGATCTTAGGTTTGGGGTAAAAGTTCGGCACAACATCGTGGGCCGAAGGGCCTGTACTGTGCTGTACTGTTCTATGTTCTATGTTCTATGTAATATCCTTAATTTTCCTGGTAATTCTGGTTGGCTTATCCCCTTCCTAGAATCCCTCTTCCTCTCTGAAACATACATTTGTTAAGAGTCATGAACTATTTTCTTAAACATCTGCTATTGTTCCCCAACCATCTTTTTGACTAAACTCAGTTCCCAGGCCACTCCAGATAACTGCCCTCATTCCTTTGTAGCTATCCTTACTTAAGTTAATGTTGTTGTTTCCAACCCAAGTTTCACCTTCTCAAACTGAATGATAAATGTTGCCATGTTAAGGTCATTCTTCTATTGGTGATATATTTTGAAAGCATTTATTAAGTGTGCCTCATTACATATTATGAGATCCTTAATAGCCTAATGCCTCTTAAGATCCATGACATATCATTCCAGGAACTGTCCTGAATACATTGTATGAATTCTTCCTTGTGGCTACCTCTGCCAATTTGATTTTCTCAATTTAAATGAAGGTTAAAGTCACCCATGATAATTGTATTGCCTTTTTCACATGTTCTCAATGTCCCCTCACTTATTGTCTATTCTACAGTATAGCTACAGTTTGGGGGCTTGCAACTTAACCTCACTAATGTCTCCGTCACCTTGCTATTTCTTACCTCTACCCATTTGGATTCTCCATCTTCCAGCCGTAGAACATTTCTTGCCACTGAGCTTATTCCATCCCATACTAACAAAGCTATTCCACCACCCATTCCTTCCGGTCCATCCTTTTAGTTGCCAGCTTTGGGCTCCTTGTAACTATGTCTCCAAAATGGCTACACGATCATATCCATTAACCTGTACTTGAATCATAGAATCCCCACAGAGTGGAAACAGACTATTTGACCCAAACAAGTCCACACCGCCCCTCCGAAGAGCATCCCACCCTGACTCATTCCCCTACCCCTGTATTTCCCCATGTCTAACCCACCTAACCTAAACATCCCTGGATGATATGGGCAATTTAGCATGGCCAATCCACCAAGCCTGCACATCTTTGGACTGTGGGAGGAAACCAGAGCACCTGGAGGAAACTCACACAGACACAAGGAGAATGTGCAGACTCCACACAGACAGTCACCTGAGGTTGGAATCAAACCCAGGTCCCTGGTGCTGTGAGGCAGTAGTGCTAACCACTGTGCCACCATGCCGTGTTCTCCACATCACACACATTCATGTAAAGAGCCATTCATTTTGCCTTTTTACCATTTTTATTCCTGTTGATCTTATTTTCTGTTCTTTTTCTCCTTGTTCACTTTTTCCTCCGTGTCACACTACTGGTAACATTATCGAAATAGCTGCCCTATAATGCTGCCATGACTTCTTGCTTTGTAAACTTATGTTTCCCCTCTGCTGAATTGGCTCCTAAATTCTATCACACATCTACTGCAAGAAGAACTACTGCTTGCAACTTGGCTGTTGTGTTTCTTACATCATAACAGTGACCATTTCAAAGCAGCATCATTAGCTAGTATCCCATCACAAAGTCAGCCTTTATTTACACATGCACAGTACACTGGCTGTGGCAAGCCAGCTCAGAGTCAGTCCCCTGTTTATATTGGTCAGCCAGGACTTCCTGATTAGCCCAGGTTAACAACCCCAACCAAGGATCCACCTAGTTCCAATCACTACAACTATGAAGCACTTGGATGCATTCAGAGGCCAGAACCATGCTACGGTTATTTTAGTTAAAAATAGGTCAGGACACTAGCTCTGTGCTATTGGAATGCAAGACTTTCTTTCAAGAGGAGAAGGCTAAAGTCCTTTGAGATTATGAGCAGGTTTGATAGGGGATACATGCAGAAAATGTTTTCAGGAGAAATGCTTTTACCCAGAGAGTAGAAGGAATGTGGGAGGCCACTATCACAAACAATAGCTGAGCTCAATAACAAATGCATTTCAAGTGAAGCTAATAAATCCTAAGGAAGTTTAGAATAAAGATTATGTTGATAGGTGAGCTGAAGAGTGAAGGGAGGGGGCCTTTGTGGAGCATAAACACTAGCACAGACCGTTGGGCTGAATGGCCTGTTTCTGCACTGTAAATTCTATGTTTCTATACATATATATGTACACACACACACACAAGACGCAGCAGTCTGTGCAATCCTGTCTTGCAGTGCTAGCCTGAATAATGCACTCAAGCCCTTGAACCCACTCCAGGCCTTGAGCACATAATGTCAAGGCAAGGTTGCGAGTAATGAGCCAAATTGCCACTTGAATGCGCAGGCAAATATAATAAAGTTGTGAATGCTCCCAATATCTGACTGCAGCAAAGCTCAAATAGACACAGGCAAAGAGTGAAAGGAAAGATCCACTGCTGGTGCACTGCCAAACACAAGGGTGAAAAATCACACAAATGCTTGGAATATGAGGAGTGTGGAGAAAATAATGTTTCATACAAAAATGGTCATTGGAATTGAGCACACATTAATATTAGCCAATGATGAGGTGAGAAGAATTAATTGGTGCAATGAGTTGTTATAAACTGAAACGTGTTGCTAAAAGGATGCTGGAATTAAATTCAATACCAACTTACAAAAGATAATTAGAGAAATAGTTGAGATTACAGCACAGGAATGGAATTGGGTAGGTAGTCCCTGTAGAGAGTTGGCAGCAAGCACAAATACAGTGGACTGAATGGATCCCTTCTGTGTTTCCATTTCCACAGTTGCCTGCTTAAGGATATTGTCACACTATGACAGATAAGCTGTAATCAAGTGGAGGGCATGCATGAAGGAGGTAATCCCTTCTGGCCTGACTGGACTTACATGGAACGACATAGAATTTACAGGAAAAGAAATTGGTCATTCAACTCAACTAGTCTATGCAGGTGTTTATCCTCCACATGGACTTCATCCTGGAGTTTTAAAAGAAGGAGCTAGTTGGATAGTTGATGATTATATATTTTCATGATAGTTGATAGCTATCTTTAATTTTCCCAAACTCCATAGATTCAGGAATGTCCCCTTAGACTAAGCAAATGAAACTCATTTATTTTAAAAAAAGAGAGAGAGACAGAAGGAGAAAGCCACAAGACTGTTAGTTTGACATCCGTCATCGGGAAATGTTAGAAGTTGCTGGTAAAGGTTATAGCAAGACACTTAGGCAAGTTGAAGATAATTGGGCACATGGTTTTGTGAAAGGGAAATCACTTTTCACTAATCTATTGAGGAAATTGCATTTGCTATAGATCAAGGGGACCTGGTGGATATATTGTACTTAGATTTCCAGGAAGCCAATTAATAAAGTGTCACATTAAAAGTTATTGCAGACCATAAAAGCTCATGTTGTAAGGGATAATATATTGACATTGATAAAAGTTTGGCTGACTGACAGGAAGCAAAGTGTAGGCATCAATGGGTGCTTTACAGGTTGGCAAAATCTAAAGTGAGGTGTTGCACAGGGATTGGTGCTGGGACCTCAGCTGTTTATCTGTTATAACAATTATTTTTGTGATTGTAGTCGTGCTCAGAAGGAGAGGAACTGGAGGTTCAGACACTTGGCGTATGTGCTTTGCAGAAGAGCCAATGGTGCAAAGCTACCATTTGTAGGAATATGATTGTAAACCGTTAAATCAGAATTCCCCTAAACCAACCCCCTGAAGGGATGAAAGATGGTTGACAAAATAGCTGGAAACATGAAGATAGATAGGAAAGTAAATTGCTCAGAGAACATAATAAGGCCAACAAAGTGAAGAGGACAGAAATCATACGATACCAAGATTATAATCCAACAGGTCTATTTGAAAACACAACCTTTCGGAGCCTTGCTCCTCCTTCAGGTATTAGTGAGAGAGGTGGAATCAGACACAGAACTTATAAGTAAAAGATCAAAGGATCATACCACTGATCAGGATGTATTAAACAAACCTAAGATTCTGTTAAATCTTTAATCAGTTAGAAGGTTTCAATTAATTAATACGTATATGTAAATCCCCAAATTTCTTTTCTCTTGTGTGTGTGGGTTGGCGGGGGGGGG